CCCCCCCCCCCCCCCCCCACATCCCCCCCCCCCCACATCCTCCAGGTGGTTTTTCGGGAAGATCCCTCGAGCCAAAGCAGAAGAGATGCTGAACAAACAGAGGCACGACGGGGCCTTCCTCATCAGAGAGAGCGAGAGCGCACCGGGAGACTTTTCTCTCTCTGTGAAGTGAGGATCACACACACACACACACACACACACACACTGGCCTGTCATTAACAGTTCACACTAACCTCCCAGGCTACACACACACCCACAGACAGCAGGTTGTCGAGTGAATAAAAACATGCTTTATGCACATTTTGATGCATTTGTAAGGATGTACATATGTGTAAGACGATTATATACACACACACACACACACACGCTGTTTTCTATAAGTACGATGTTCCTCTATGCTTACCTCAGTGTGCAGTCTCCTCTCCAGAGATGGTTCATGTGTTTCCATACTTGGTGTTTCTGACTCATCGTCACAGAGCAGAGACTCTGTGCTGCCCTCTGCTGTCAGGGAGGGAAGAGCAGCTCACACCCTTTACGTTCACTAAAACCACTACTTTAAATTACTCCATAACGAGTAAAAGCTCTATCAGAAACATTTATTATTTATTTTGTATCAAATTAAACTTCATTTATAGAGCAAGAGCACTTTACATAGACATGAGCTAACACGTGAGCTACCACGTGAGCTACCACGTGAGCTAACACGTGAGCTACCACGTGAGCTACCACAAGAGCTACCACAAGAGCTAACACAAGAGCTACCACAAGAGCTAACACAAGAGCTACCACAAGAGCTAACACAAGAGCTACCACAAGAGCTACCACATGAGCTAACACAAGAGCTACCACAAGAGCTAACACAAGAGCTAACACAAGAGCTAACACAAGACCTACCACATGAGCTAACACAAGAGCTACCACATGAGCTACCACAAGAGCTAACACAAGACCTACCACAAGACCTACCACATGAGCTACCACAAGAGCTACCACATGAGCTACCACAAGAGCTACCACGTGAGCTACCACGTGAGCTACCACAAGAGCTACCACATGAGCTACCACAAGACCTACCACAAGACCTACCACGTGAGCTACCACATGAGCTACCACAAGAGCTACCACGTGAGCTACCACGTGAGCTACCACAAGAGCTACCACAAGAGCTAACACAAGAGCTACCACATGAGCTAACACAAGACCTACCACAAGACCTACCACGTGAGCTACCACGTGAGCTACCACGTGAGCTACCACGTGAGCTACCACGTGAGCTACCACGTGAGCTAACACGTGAGCTACCACGTGAGCTACCACATGAGCTACCACATGAGCTACCACATGAGCTACCACATGAGCTACCACATGAGCTAACACATGAGCTAACAACTACCTGGAGATTCAATTAAGTAGATATAGATGTCAGGGTATGACACCTCGTCCACCAGCAGGATGAATGGACATCGATCGCCTATTAATTCTGATTCAACCAGATATCCAGCCAGATTTCCAACGATTTAATGTCTAAGAGTATTACGTACATACGCTTTAGCCTATCCAAACCATACGTATATGCAACACCACAATAACTCCATTCAGATATGTTCACATAATTAGCCTTTACCTAATATTGTGCTTTTTGCAATTTAGATTAGATTTGGATTCAGCCTTACTCATAATTATACTGAGGTGCAGGATTTAGTTACTTTCCATCACTGCCTGTTATGATTTCTGCTGTGTTTTGGACCTCAGCCCTTTGATGAGTACTGACACACACACACACACACAGCTCACTTCCTCTGCAGGTCACATGTCAAGTGGGAGATATGGATAATAATTACTGTCTGGATTCCTGTTAGTCACAGCGTCTGAGTTCAATATCATCTCATCGATTCATTTGACTAATAACTGCAGTCGCTCCACACTGCGAACAAAAAAGGGAGTGTGTGTGTGAGGATCATTATCATCGGTGAACTCGGCTACACCTGGTGTGTGTGTGAGGGCTGCACCATCTGCAAAAAAAGAACAGATTGTGATTATTTGTGACTGATGTTTCAATTGCAATATGGTTCGCGATATTGGAGGGATGATCATTTTTGAAATATAGATAATACACTAGTCTATATTGCAATTTGAATAACATTTTGGTTATTTTTGCAGCCCTAATTGTCATTAAAACTCTACGAAAAACAATGCCTTTAGCTGCCTCAAACTGCAGCTGTCTGCAAGGGATTATTAAAAGAGATTACCGGATGATAGAAGTGCAGGAAGTGAGAAACAGAGAGGATCCAAAAAGAACGCTTCCTCTTTCAAATGTTAAGACCCTTACTAATAATATAACATGCTGTACCAAGAAAAGAGAAGGTGAACAAACTGTTGTTCTTGTTGAAGTAAGTCTGGAGATCTCACTTATCAGACATGTGTCATCCATTTGTTAAGCAAGATTAACGTCCGAGTGATCCACTTCCTGTTATTCAAATATTTGATGACTAAAGAGAGGTGCAGTGATGATGTGTTTTTGTTGTCTGAACCTGAAGGCAGCATCTCCATGGTTCCCTCCACAAAAAATAAATGGGATTTTTTCATGTGGTTTTGGATGTTGGGCTATAAAGGAACTACAGCACGGTCACATGACTTCACGTGACCACCGCTAAGCTAAAGGCGGCTAATGTTGGGCTATAAAGGAACTACAGCACGGTCACATGACTTCACGTCACCACCGCTAAGCTAAAGGCGGGCTAATGTTGGGCTATAAAGGAACTACAGCACGGTCACATGACTTCATGTCACCACCGCTAAGCTAAAGGCGGCTAATGTTGGGCTATAAAGGAACTACAGCACGGTCACATGACTTCATGTCACCACCGCTAAGCTAAAGGCGGCTAATGTTGGGCTATAAAGGAACTACAGCACGGTCACATGACTTAACGTCACCACCGCTAAGCTAAAGGAGGCTAATGTTGGGCTATAAAGGAACTACAGCACGGTCACATGACTTCACGTCACCACCGCTAAGCTAAAGGCGCTAATGTTGGGCTATAAAGGAACTACAGCACGGTCACATGACTTCACGTCACCACCGCTAAGCTAAAGGCGGCTAATGTTGGGCTATAAAGGAACTACAGCACGGTCACATGACTTCACGTCACCACCGCTAAGCTAAAGGAGGTTAATGTTGGGCGTGATGACGTTTAGTCGTCTCATTTACACTTGTTTTTAAATTCACCAGTGGGGTATTTTATGACGGGAACAAAATGTTAAAATCTCTTCAGCTTGTGTTAACCACAGACTTTATTTCAGGATATCCAAAAGCACATTCAGAAAAAGCTTCCAGACGAGGGAACAAGACATGCTTAAAAGCTGCCTTCTGGAGTTTAGGACTCATTCCTGTCAGAAATTGAACTTTAGCTGATGATGTGTTTCCTCTCTGTCCCTCCTGCAGGTTTGGAAACGACGTCCAGCACTTCAAGGTCCTCCGTGACGGAGCGGGGAAGTACTTCCTGTGGGTGGTGAAGTTTAACTCTCTCAACGAGCTGGTGGATTATCATCGCTCCACCTCGGTCTCTCGCAACCAACAAATCTTCCTGCGAGACATCGAGCAGGCTCCCCAGGTGAGAACGACTCCTAAAACTCAAATCACAAACTAAGTAACCAGTCGGATTATTGACTTACTTCACTATCAGCAGCCAAACCCTTTCTTTGTCACAGCGAGAATCACCTCAGATCAAACTAATATCAGAAAGGAAAGAGTAACTGCTGCTCGAACCCAGTGTTATTCTCTATTAGTTCAAACTCACACTGCTCACAACCAATTGGTCAAATGTATTTTTCAATTATCTCATTAAATGCTAAACCGAGAATCTAAAAACGTAAGTTATATCCAGACTTCAGCAATCATATTTTGCAATACTTTTGGCCTAAAAGTGCTTTATAGTGACTTAGTTTATAAGTGACTGTTTTTTTGTCTGTTTTTTTTATTCTAAAGCGACCTTGGGTCCCCTGAAAGACGCTATATAAATTTAAGGCATTATTATTATTATTATTTATACATGAGAGCAACGCATCCCGGTGCTGTCCCTCTATGCTAGGGCCACGCTCCTTTTTGGGGGAAAACACTCACGGCGGTAAATACAACTTCTGTGATTTTTCTATCTACAAGAGCCGTTTTCACACCAAGTACTTTGCCGCACTTAGTTCCCAGCACTTAGTTCCCAGCACTTAGTTCCCAGCACTTAATTCCCAGCACTTAGTTCCCAGCACTTAGTTCCCAGCACTTAATTCCCAGCACTTAGTTCCAGCACTTAGTTCCCAGCACTTAGTTCCCAGCACTTAGTTCCCAGCACTTAGTTCCCAGCACTTAGTTCCCAGCACTTAATTCCCAGCACTTAGTTCCCAGCACTTAGTTCCCATCACTTAGTTTCCAGCACTTAATTCCCAGCACTTAGTTCCCAGCACTTAGTTCCCAGCACTTAGTTCCCAGCTCTTAGTACCCCGATGGAACTAAGAGCCGATCGCGTTTACACTGGAATAAGTTCCCTGAGGGAAGATTACGCAAATGAAGCCGCTGACGTCACTTCTTCTTCTTCTGCTTTGCGGTTTACTGGCAGGCCGCAAACAACTTCACGGCGTATTCTGCCGCCCCAAAGTCCCCCGGCCGGAAGTCCCCGGAGTTGGGGACTGGCTTCAGTAGAAGCTGCTGGGACTCCCAGCAGCTTCTACTGAAGCCTTCAGAGTAAATCACCAGAATGCCGACACCTCCTCATCTCCACCGCTCCCATGTTTTATTTTGTGTTGCCATAAGTTAGTCTCTCTGCATTTCTGCGTTGGGCTAACGCTAATAATGCTAATAATGATAATGCCAGCAAATACAATGGAGGCTTCAAAAAACTTTTCCGAGTTTTACGGGGCGTGGTTTGCAACCCGCCCAGACAATCAGAAATGTTTACTTTTTTCTCCCCAGGGAAGTCCCACCTCTCTAGCAGGGACTGAAAGGGGGGTAAAAGTTCTCATGAACAAAGTTCTCTTTTTGGTGTGAACGCAAAATCCCAGGAACTATCGGAACTAGAAACGGTGAAAGTACGGGGGAAAAGTACTCCCGGTGTGAAAGCGCCTTAAGGAGCCCCGGTTACAATGGCCAGTCAGGCAAACAATTAAATTAAGTCGTTGAAATCTGGCTGAGGATATCTGGTTAAATCAGAATTACATAGGCGATCGATGTCCGTTCATTCTGCCGGTGGACGAGGTGTGATACCCTGACATCTATATCTACCTCATTGAATCTCCAGTAGTTTTTTAAAGGACATCTGTCACTTTTTCTGTCATCAAGCCACATTATTTATCTGTCCATCTTAGGTTACTGTTAAACAGGGGGTTTAACAAGCTAACTAATGATAGCACCTAGGGTCTCTGTGAATATTCTGAAGCCACAGAGCTCTAGTTTTACGCTCCTTTGTTCTTGGAGGAAGTACAGAGAGACGTAACTGTGGATATATTTAATGTTTGAGGTTCAAATACACGACACAGCAGCTTTTTGGCTTCATTAAACTATAGCTTTCCGCTTTGCACCGATGCTTTGTTTTCCCCCGAAGGTGACGTTAGCGTTGCTTTCATTTATTTACCGTTAAAACCGTGATATTATTAATGTTTCACTCGAGCATTCTGTCATTAATAAGAAGGTCTCCAGCAACTGTTTTCGTAGTTCAGTTGTTTGGAGGAAAGCTGAGGATGTAACCCGCCGTCTCTCTTCTCTATAATAAAAACAAAATGCATCTCTGAGTTTGAGGAGTAAACGGCAGCAGCGAGGCTACGCTGAAGAGCTCACAGCGAGTACAAATTTGGACGCAGGAAGTCAGCGGCTGTGAAGCTGGTTTTCTGTGAGCTGGAGAGGAAGTGAGAAACCACAGAGGTTAGAGTGACGGGAGAGACAGAGTAGAGTGGGTTTGAATGACCTGTTATGCAAAATCCTCTTCTTCATGTCTCTTCTACATCAACATGTGTCCCCTCTTCTTCATGTCTCTTCTACATCAACATGTGTCCCCTCTTCTTCATGTCTCTTCTACATCAACATGTGTACTGTGTACTGTGTCACCTTTTAAAAAAACACACATCAAGAGGAACAGTGGTGCAGATTTCTCTTGAAATTTGGACGCAGGAAGTCAGCGGCTGTGAAGCTGGTTTTCTGTGAGCTGGAGAGGAAGTGAGAAACCACAGAGGTTAGAGTGACGGAGAGACAGAGTAGAGTGGGTTTGAATGACCTGTTATGCAAAATCCTCTTCTTCATGTCTCTTCTACATCAACATGTGTCCCCTCTTCTTCATGTCTCTTCTACATCAACATGTGTCCCCTCTTCTTCATGTCTCTTCTACATCAACATGTGTCCCCTCTTCTTCATGTCTCTTCTACATCAACATGTGTCCCCTCTTCTTCATGTCTCTTTACATCAACATGTGTCCCTCTTCTTCATGTCTCTTCTACATCAACATGTGCCCCTCTTCTTCATGTCTCTTCTACATCAACATGTGTCCCCTCTTCTTCATGTCTCTTCTACATCAACATGTGTCCCAACCTCTTATCCTCTCTTCATGTCTCTTCTACATCAACACGTGTCCCCCTCTTCTTCATGTCTCTTCTACATCAACATGTGTCCCCTCTTCTCCATGTCTCTTCTACATCAACATGTGTCCCCTCTTCTCATGTCTCTTCTACATCAACATGTGTTCCCCTCTTCTTCATGTCTCTTCTACATCAACATGTGTCCCCTCTTCTTCATGTCTCTTCTACATCAACATGTGTCCCCTCTTCTTCATGTCTCTTCTACATCAACATGTGTCCCCTCTTCTTCATGTCTCTTCTACAATCAACATGTGTCCCCTCTTCTTCATGTCTCTTCTACATCAACATGTGTCCCCTCTTCTTCATGTCTCTTCTACATCAACATGTGTCCCCCTCTTCTTCATGTCTCTTCTACATCAACATGTGTCCCCTTCTTCATGTCTCTTCTACATCAACATGTGTCCCTCTCTTCATGTCTCTTCTACATCAACATGTGTCCCCTCTTCTTCATGTCTCTTCTACATCAACATGTGTCTCCTCTTCTTCGTGTCTCTTCTACATCAACATGTGTCCCCTCTTCTTCATGTCTCTTCTTCATCAACATGTGTCCTCTCTTCTTCATGTCTCTTCTACATCAACATGTGTCCCCTCTTCTCCATGTCTCTTCTACATCAACATGTGTCCCCTCTTCTTCATGTCTCTTCTACATCAACATGTGTCCCCTCTTCTTCATGTCTCTCTTCTACATCAACATTGTCCCCTCTTCTTCATGTCTCTTCTACATCAACATGTGTCCCCTCTTCTTCATGTCTCTTCTACATCAACATGTGTCCCCTCTTCTTCATGTCTCTTCTACATCAACATGTGTCCCCTCTTCTCCATGTCTCTTCTACATCAACATGTGTCTCCTCTTCTTCGTGTCTCTTCTACATCAACATGTGTCCCCTCTTCTTCATGTCTCTTCTTCATCAACATGTGTCCTCTCTTCTTCATGTCTCTTCTACATCAACATGTGTCCCCTCTTCTCCATGTCTCTTCTACATCAACATGTGTCCCCTCTTCTTCATGTCTCTTCTACATCAACATGTGTCCCCTCTTCTTCATGTCTCTTCTACATCAACATGTGTCCCCTCTTCTCCATGTCTCTTCTACATCAACATGTGTCCCCCCTCTTCTTCATGTCTCTTCTACATCAACAGTGTGTCCCCTCTTCCTTCATGTCTCTTCTACATCAACATGTGTCCCCTTCTTCTTCTTCATGTCTCTTCTACAATCAACATGTGTCCCGTCCTTCGTCATGTCTCTTCTACATCAACATGTGTCCCCCTCTTCTCCATTCTCTTCTACATCAACATGTGTCTCCTCTTCTTCGTGTCTCTTCTACATCACATTGTTCCCCTCTTCTTCATGTCTCTTCTTCATCAACATGTGTCCCCTCTTCTCCATGTCTCTTCTACATCAACATGTGTCCCCTCTTCTTCATCAACATGTGTCCCCTCTTCTTCATGTCTCTTCTACATCAACATGTGTCCCCTCTTCTCCATGTCTCTTCTACATCAACATGTGTCCCCTCTTCTTCATGTCTCTTCTACATCAACATGTGTCCCCTCTTCTTCATGTCTCTTCTACATCAACATGTGTCCCCTCTTCTACATCAACATGTGTCCCCTCTTCTTCATGTCTCTTCTACATCAACATGTGTCCCCTCTTCTCCATGTCTCTTCTACATCAACATGTGTCCCCTCTTCTTCATGTCTCTTCTACATCAACATGTGTCCCCTCTTCTTCATGTCTCTTCTACATCAACATGTGTCCCCTCTTCTCTCATGTCCCCTCCCCCCCCCCCCCCCCCCTTATCACCTGAATCTCCTCCTAGAGCTCCATTGAGTTCTTTGTAACCAAATGTCTCTCAGAGGGGCGTGGGGAGGGGCTCCTTGTTTTCATCTAAAGTAACAGACAGAGAATCAGCACTTTGGAAACAGGGCTGAAACAGAGGGGATTATGGGTAATGCTGCAATGATCTGTTTGGTGTTTCAGCCAATCAGAGACAGGCTCTGGATATATCTGAGACCTGTGATATATTGATGACAAACAGTGTAATAGGGGACCTTTAAGAATATCGCAGAGTTACTATCATTTCGATTTAATTTTATTGCTCATTTTTACTTAAACTTCATATATTTATTATCTTTTATTGGACATTTTATTTTTAACTCATGTTCTCTTTATTGTGCCGTCTTAATTTGACTTCTAACATTTATATAAATACTTTTATTTTATTAATTTTTTTGTGTTTAAATATTTGAACATGAATACAAATATTCATACACGCGTGCGTGAACAAACTGCCCCGCTCACTCGCACACAGGCGGGGGAGAGATCAAAAATGTTGTAGTCTTATTGCGTATTAGAAACGAGTTGGCGACACTCAGACTGCGATATAATGTTTATGTAGCAATAATACATGACATATATTTTTTAAATGTCTCCAGTACCGATAAAAAGACCGATAACGTCGGCGCTTAACGGCGCGTAACACATGATGACGTCACCAACGAATCGACGACTGAATTAGTTGGCAACTAATTTGGTGATCGATGAAGTCAATTAGTTGTTGCACCCCTAGTCTGAATGGTCCTTATATCATAGCTAACCCTCCTCTCTCTCCCCAGCACCCCACGTACGTGCAGGCTCTCTTTGACTTCGACCCTCAGGAGGAAGGAGAGCTGGGCTTCAGACGCGGAGACTTCATCCAGGTGCTCGACAACTCAGACCCCAACTGGTGGAAGGGGGGCTGCCACGGCCAGACGGGCATGTTCCCCCGCAACTACGTCACGCCCGTCAACAGGAACATGTAGAACAGTCAGACCATGTCAACAACAACAACAACAACAACAGCATCATTTTGATCTCATCCCATCAAACCCCCCTCCTCCTCCTGAGGAGACAACATGGAGGATGGATCGGAGGGGAAACGTCCTCTGTCCTTAACTTCTTAACATTCTGCCTTTTGTCTTTTGTGTTCCTCTTCTTTGCCGCATGTTGTTTTTAATCACCCCTTAAAGGAAAAAAGCTTAAAAATGTAAAAAATAAATAAAATAAAGAAATGGTTTTAAAAAAAAATGTACAAAGAAGAGTGCAATCGACAGTGGGCGAACGGGTTGATCGTTGGCACGTGAGCATTGTACATCGGCCTCTCGGCTGTATAAATAAATCAACTATAGAGAGAATCCATTTTTTAAGAATATATATTATATATTTGTATGTGTTTGTCTGTTTTACCTCTCATCACAAATTGTATTTTTTTCCATTTTTGTAAATTATGTTCCGTCTGGAAACGCCCTGCAGCTCGAGGGGAGCGCTGAATCGTCTTTTTTGTTTTTCTGAATATGTCTGGGGGCTCTCGGATAGAAACAGCATGATGTGTAAAAGGGGTCGTCAATTCCATTTTGAATGAACTTGTCTATAATGCATACCGGAGGAGAGACTGTCCGACCAGCAGAGGAGCCATGAGTGCTGCGAAGAAGAAGAAGAGCTGTCGTATTATACAAAGTGTAAAAAAAATCCATTTCAGAAGTATTTATTGCAGCCATTTTGATTTCCGGGGGTCATTGAATGTAGCTCCGCAGACACGAGGGCAGCGGTCGGAGAACTGAACCAAACATCATGCAAGGGATTCAAAATAAAGAAAGAGTTTTCACTCTAATGACATGCATGCGTCTCCTTGTTATACCTGCACGTAGCAAAGAGGCGGAGCTCCTTCGGATAATCACCAATCAGACAGGAAACTGAGAGATTGTCTTTGATGCTAAGAGTTGAGGAATCAGCTTCTTGTGTTGTTTTGTCTCGCACTTTGTTGATTTCTGGTCCAGTGTGTGTGTGTGTGTGTGTACCGTGTTTTCTCTCTGGATAGTGCCTTTCTCTCTGGTGTCTCAGTGTCTCCGACCTGCTACTTTGAGCCCCCCCCCCCCCCCCCAGATAAACAGTGTATATATTAAATCAACATTCACCCCTCCCACACACACCTTCTCCATCAGCCCGCCTCCTCCACCTCTACCCCCACCAACATGGAACTCTTCTTATTTAAGTGTCTCTCGCCTCGTCTTACCTAATGAACCTGTTTTTTTGTTTTTTGGCTCTTTTTTTTATTTTGCATTTGTTTTTTTGTTTTTTCAATTAATAAAATGCAATTATTAAAAAATGAGATTTTGTTTTGTGTCGTCTCTGCTTCGAATTCCCTGGACTCTGAGACTTCGTTTGAACTTCTCTACTATTTTTTTTTTGTCTTTTAACCAGTGATGTAATTATGGCTGGAAGTCAATGGTTTTCTGAATGTGTTTTTGGTTGTGAGCCTACAATAAGGTCTGTGGTTAACACAAGCCGAAGAGATTTTAACGTTTAAGTGGCAGAGAAACTCCCGCTGGACGGAACACAGGTATTTTAGCTTTTGTAGACCATTGACATGCACTAAAACCAACAGGAGAGAGAAACCCCCCAGAAAGCAGAATAGGGACTCTTTAAAGCCACATTTTGACGAACTCTACTTTTTTTTTTTTAATTACTGTCATCTGATCTGAATACCTTTTTCCGCCCCTGAGTCTTGACTGTATGTTTATGTATGAATTGCAGACCATTTACATGCACTAAAACCAACAGAACACACTACAGGATCCCTACATAGGGTCCCTTTAATAACAGTTTAAACATGAATTTCAAAGTCCTTTTTGACCTCTTAGCCTTAGAGGATGTTCTCCATCCAGACAGGGTGTAATGATGTGTGTTTACATCCCATCATCAGCAGTAGATTGGTGTTGCATAAATATATATTTTTTTTAAATCTCGCAGACACCAGAGTCAGTCAAAATAACTTTATTCTTCCCACAGAGGGAACATTTACATGTTTTAACAGCAGAAAAGAGCCAAAGACAGCTTATATCCTGCAGGATATTTGTGCAGGATATATATATGTATTGTATTTGTTACTGGACATTTTTATTTTCACATGTATATATTTTTTTTTTAACTTTTTAATGCTATTTCATAAATATTTTTGGACTGTTTATTTCTAGTTTCTATCCATCCATCTATCTATCTATCTTATGTTAACTAAGAAGCATGCATACAAATATATTACACAATTTACAAAATACACATCTGTTACAGTTGTGAGAAATAGCAGCCAGGTATAAATTGCAGTTATTAACGGCATATATATATATATATATATATATATATATATATATATATATACTGCACATAATTTGTATTTCACAGCAAGGGGTCTTATAGCATGTCTGTGTTGTTGTGTGTGTGTGTGTGTGGGGGGGGGGGGTCTACCAGACAGTGAGTCAGACACTGAGTAACTACACACATGTCAACATTTCATTTCATTTAGCTGACCCTTTTATCCAAAGCGAGCGAAGTGCTATGAAACGTATCCTCAGTGTGTGTCGAGGTGCAGAGGATGATGAAGATGAGTGATGAAGAGGACGGAGGTTTCTCTCAGAGCCTGAAGGGGTTCACTCAGATCTTCACGTTACCCTCGGTCTGCTGCTCCGTCTGCTCCACATTCTGACTCTGAGACCCATTGACTCCCGTCCCGCCTCCAGCTGATCTGAGTGTGTTTCAGTCCGCTCCACCGACTCCACTCATCTGCTCTGTTACTGACACAATTCAAAAGGCATTATTAAATACATATATAAAAGTATTGCAGTCTTTGGAAGACATGCGATTACAATAAAATGAAATAAACTAAAATAACAATTAAAGAAATAAGTGCAACGGCAGTTCTGGTCAGAGGAGTACTCAGATCTTGTAGTAAAAGTAGAAGTACTCAGATCTTGTAGTAAAAGTAGAAGTACTCAGATCTTGTAGTAAAAGTAAAAGTACTCAGATCTTATGGTAAAAGTAGAAGTACCAGAGTGTAGGAATACTCTGTTACAGTAAAAGTAGAAGTACTCAGATCTTGTAGTAAAAGTAGAAGTACTCAGATCTTGTAGTAAAAGTAAAAGTACTCAGATCTTGTACCTGAGTAAAAGTAGAAGTACTCAGATCTTGTAGTAAAAGTAGAAGTACTCAGATCTTGTAGTAAAAGTAGAAGTACTCAGATCTTGTAGTAAAAGTAGAAGTACTCAGATCTTGTAGTAAAAGTAGAAGTACTCAGATCTTGTAGTAAAAGTAAAAGTACTCAGATCTTGTACCTGAGTAAAGAGTAGAAGTACTCAGATCTTGTAGTAAAAGTAGAAGTACTCAGATCTTGTAGTAAAAGTAGAAGTACTCAGATCTTGTAGTAAAAGTAAAAGTACTCAGATCTTGTACCTGAGTAAAAGTAGAAGTACTCAGATCTTGTACTTGAGTAAAAGTAGAAGTACTCAGATATTGTACTTGAGTAAAAGTAGAAGTACTCAGATATTGTACTTGAGTAAAAGTAGAAGTACCAGAGTGTAGGAATACTCTGTTACAGTAAAAGTAGAAGTACTCAGATCTTGTACCTGAGTAAAAGTAGAAGTACTCAGATCTTGTACTTGAGTAAAAGTAGAAGTACTCAGATCTTGTACTTGAGTAAAAGTAGAAGTACTCAGATCTTGTACTTGAGTCAAAGTAGAAGTTACTCAGAGCTATGTACTTTAGTAAAAGTAGAAGTACTCAGATCTTGTACTTGAGTAAAAGTAGAAGTACTCAGATCCTTGTACTTGAGTAAAAGTAGAAGTACTCAGGTCTTGTACTTGAGTAAAGTAGAAGTACTCAGATCTTGTACTTGAGTAAAAGTAGAAGTACTCAGGTCTTGTACTTGAGTAAAAGTAGAAGTACTCAGATCATGTATTTTAGTAAAAGTAGAAGTACTCAGATCTTGTACTTGAGTAAAAGTAGAAGTACTCAGATCTTGTACTTGAGTAAAAAGTAGAAGTACTCAGGTCTTGTACTTTGATAAAAGTAGAAGTACTCAGATCATTGTATTTTAGTAAAAGTAGAAGTACTCAGATCTTGTACTTGAGTAAAAGTAGAAGTACTCAGGTCTTGTACTTGAGTAAAAGTAGAAGTACTCAGATCTGTACTTGAGTAAAAATTAGAAGTACTCGATCTTGTACTTGAGGTAAAAGTAGAAGTACTCAGAGTCTTGTACTTGAGTCAAAGTAGAAGTACTCAGATCATTGTACTTGAGTAAAAGTAGAAGTACTCAGATCATGTATTTTATAAAAGTAGAAGTACTCAGATCTTGTACTTGAGTAAAAAGTAGAAGTACTGCAGATCTTGTACTTGAGTAAAAGTAGAAGTACTCAGGTCTTGTACTTGAGTAAAAGTAGAAGTACTCAGATCTTGTCCTTGAGTAAAAGTAGAAGTACTCAGGTCTTGTACTTGAGTAAAAGTAGAATTACTCAGATCATGTACTTGAGTAAAAGTAGAAGTACCAGAGTGTAGGAATACTCTGTTACAGTAAAAGTCCTGCATTCAAAATGTTCCTCCAGTAAAAGTAGAAAGTATTCTCATCAAAATATAGTGAAAGTAGCGACAGTAAAAGTAGTCATTGTGCAGATTGGTCCATTTCAGAATAATATATATGATATGTTTTATAATGATTGATCATGAAAGTGTTACCTCTATGAATCTATATCAATAATAACTGTCTAAGGTCTCCTCCTCTCTAACTCTGATGCTTCAGTTGTCTTTAAGTTCAGAGTTACTGCGCTGTTTCTGATTCATGGTTTATCACTGCCCCCTGCTGGCTACCTGGGATAAACAAGATATATATCTGTTGTCAACTTTAATTATTTTGTAATATAACTTTAACTTCATGTGAATATATTTATTTTGTCTTTTTATTGCACTTTATTATTATTTATATTCTATTTTAATTATCTTTATTGATTATACATGTCTTCACTGTACATTTGACTTAATTTAATGTAATGTAGCCCGTCAGCAGTGTTTTAATTGTCAGATAGTCAATATATTTGTATCTTCACGGTCAATTTTATATTTTTTACTCTTTAGTTCTGTTTTATCTTCTATGTTGGGATGTTTATATTGAATGATTGTTTATTTTCCACTCTTTTTTATTTCGAATTATGTGCAATACTTTGTTTGACATGGGGATTACTAAAGTGTATCTTATTTTCCATTAACTTGTTTGTATACATGTTCATATTTTTACTCTAACTTCTTAAATTCATATACAGTTTCTGTATTAATTGTTTTCTTATATTATTATTTTCTAACGATTTACAGTACATACAACTACAATTAATGAAACATCAGATATATCATACTTTACAGGCTCCTAAATGATGACAATACATGTGTAAAACATTAAAAACCTATTTCTTGAGTTTAGTATTTTTAAAGCATTATCCATTTTGTTAAATCATTAAACCTAACCACTGGGTGGCGCTGTTGCATCACTTGTAAACCATCGTTTAAAACCGCTAAAGTGGTGACTTCAGGCGCATCTAGTATTTATATTGATACCATCAACACGGAATGTCTTCCTAATGATTCTTGAATATACAGCTTAATGTGTAAAAGTATAATTTAAATGAAATAAAAGTATTATTAAAATTATTTTCAAAAAATTATTGTTCGTTGTCGGCAGGATTCGAACCTGCGCGGGAAGATCCCAATGGATTTCTAGTCCATCGCCTTAACCACTCGGCCACGACAACTGATGAACATAACTATATGCTGACATTATTTATACATTACAATAATTCATATTCATATATATATATATATAATGTATGTGTATAATAATGACAATTTTACTAGCAGTAACTGGAATGGAAAACTACAAATACAGTTACTTTAGATGTTTATGATTGTGTCACACATACCCTTTAATCAATATTTGGACATTTATATTATGAGCCATGTTAAAGTGTTTGCTATAGTTGTATCTGTACAGGAAGTCATTACAATGCTACTGTACATAGTCTGCTGTTTGAATAATATTTAACATGCAAAATACATGATTAACTGATTAAAAACTGTACTGGTTATTCAACCAAACGGCTAAATAGTTAAACACTCCTTAAGTCACATGCGAGGTAATTCATCAATGATATAAGAAGATTTTAATTAAAAAATACATTTCTTTGTGTTTAAATGTACAAAGTGCAACTACTTCGCAAACTTGTATAATGTATAAAGTAGGTTGGTCTATTATAGTGTATTCTAACTTATTATGTATAATAACTGTTGACATATATA